GCAGCAGCAGCAGCAGCAGCAGCAGACACAGCAGCAGCAGCAGCAGCAGCAGCAGCAGCAGCAGCAGCAGCACCTGCAGCAGCTGCATGCGCTGCACGCTTCTATCGGAGAAGCAGCAGCAGCAGCAGGAGGTGTAAGAGGATCTAACGAATGTATAAACTGCAGCAGCAGCAGCAGCAGCAGCAGCAAGATCAATAGACCCATCAATAGAATGAGAATGAGTAGCAGCAGCAATTGCTGCTGTTGCTGCTGCTGCTGCTGTCTTTGCCGCTGCTATATATTACTGCATGCATTAATAAAAAGAATAAAATATTTATTAGAGGAAGAAAAAAGAAAAAAAAAGAAAATTAATTCGCATGTTAATACTAATACAATTACACATAAAAAAAAACCTCCTAACCATCAAGTACGCTGCTGCTGCTGCTGTTGCTGCTGCTGCTGCTGCTGTTGCTGCTGCTGCTGCTGCTGTTGCTGCTGCTGCTGCTGTTGTTGCTGCTGCTGCTGCAGCATCTGCGGTGTGTTGGTATATGTTTACAGGTTCGTTGCAAAGCCGCCAACAGGCGATACTATCAGCAGCAGCAGCAACAGCAGCAGCAGCACCAACAGCAGCAGCACCACCACTACCACCATCAGCAGCAGCAGCAGCAGCATCGGTCTCACAGTGCCTCACCTCCTTGGTCACGAGAGGCTGCCGCTGCTCAGGTACGTCGTCCTTCTCATCCTCTCCCTTTTGCTGCTGCTGGCAACAAACAGCAGCAACAGCAGCAGCAGCAGCGGAGGCAGCAGCAGCAGCAGCAGCAAAGGGGAAACGTAAGGAGACGAGAGGGTTTTGCCCAGCGGCATCGTCAACATTTGCTGCAACATCCGCATATGGAGGATGAAGAACTGCAGCAGCAGCAGCAGCAGCAACTGCAGCAGCAGCAGCAGCAGCATGAAGAGGAGCAGCAACAACAGAAGGAACGACAAGAACGTCTAGATTCTGCTGCATTTGCCTTTGGCAGCAGCAGCAGCAGCAGCAGCAGCAGCAGCAGACCAATTACTGTTGATGGCCGCAGCAAAAGCGAATTTGAAGAATTGCATGTTATTGGCAAAGGAGGGTTTGGTAGTGTTGTCAAGGTAAACCCTAAACCCTAAACCCTAAACCCTAAACCCTAAACACTAATTTTAAAACCACCGGTGGGGGACAAAGGGTGTAGGAGATACAGGCAAGGGTTTAGGGTTTAGGGTTTGTGTATCCTTGTTCAAGTGCCAATGTGTATCTGCGCGTGTGGTTTAAGGGTTTAGGGTTTAGCTAGTGTTCAGGGTTTAGGGTTTATCTAGGGTTTGTCTAGGGTTTAGGGTTTAGGGTTTAGGGTTTAGGGTTTATATATGTCTATAGGTGCGTAAACGTCAAGGAGGAGGAGTATTTGCATTAAAAAAGATATCCTTAACAATAGAAGAAAAAAAAGAAAAAAAAGAAAAAAAAGAAGAAAATAATTTGCTGCTGCTGCAGTCCTCCTTCTTATCTCTTCGTGTTGCAGCAGAAGCAGCAACTCTTGCTGCACTCTCTCATCCTGTAAGATTTATTTCCTTCTTTTTTTTATTTATTTATTTTATTGTCTCCTCTTTTATTTATTTTATTTTGTTGCCTCCTTTTCTTCTCTCTCTTTTTATGTCTCTTTTATTGTCTGCTTTTCTGTCTCCTTTTTTTATATGTATATATCTTGTCTACAACCTCTAGGGTTTAGGGTTTAGGGTTTAGGGTTTAGGGTTTGTGGTGCTGCAGAATATCGTACGGTATTACGATGCGTGGTTAGAGACAGCAAAGGATGACTCATCTCCTCGTAACCCCCAACTTCCTGAAGGTAAACCCTAAACCCTAAACCCTAAACCCTAAACCCTAAACCCTAGAATCACAAGGCACGTTCATTGTTTCTCTGTCTGTGGCAATCCATTCTCTAGACGAAGGGCCAGCTTTGGACTTTAGTATTTAGGGTTTGGTATTTAGGGTTTAGGGTTTAGGGTTTGGGTTTTAGGGTTTAGTTAGGGTTTAGGTTTTGGGTTTTAGGGTTTAGGGTTTAGGGTTTAGGGTTTAGGGTTTATGTTGTGTATATATGCAGTAGCTGGATATTTATACATACTAATGGAGTATTGCCCAGGGAGAACACTAAGAGAGGCAATAGATTCAGGTATGTTGCTTAATAAGCCGCAGCAGCTGCAGCAGCAACTGCAGCAACTGCAGCAGGAGCAGGAACAGCAGCAGCAACCCCAGCAGCAACAGCAGCAAGACCAGCAGCATGATCATCAAGATCAGCACCATCTCCCTAACCATCAACAGCAGCAACAACAACAACAACAACAGCAGCAGCAGCAACAGCAGCAGCAGCAGCAGCAGCAGCAGCAGCAGCAGCAAGAGGAAGAAGAGGAAGAAGAAGATGATGAGGGTTTACTAGAGAATTTAGTTATATGTAGATGGATAATAACTAAGCAATTATTACAAGCTGTGGTGTATATACACCGTAATAATGTTATACATAGAGACATTAAACCCTCTAATATATTCCTTAAACCATCAGATAAAGGACCTCTTATTGTTAAGGTAAACCCTAAACCCTAAACCCTAAACACTAATTACAAAATTATACACAAAAATATATACTTATACATACCAGTAAACCCTCAGGAAACCCTATATATAGACATATATATAAACCCTAATAAACCCTAAACCCTCATCAACACTTTGCATAATAAACCCTCGTATATATACTCACCAATAAACCCTAATAAACATAAACCCTTGGGGGGTCTACGACCTTATATCGGGGTTAGGGTTTAGGGTTTAGGGTTTAGGGTTTGGCGCTCAGGTGGGAGATTTTGGCTTAACTCGCCCTGTGCGCCCTCAGCAGCCTGCAGAGTTAGAGGGGGGCCCCCAAGGGGGGCCCTCTGGGGGCCCCTTTGGGGCCCCCCCTTCGACTCCTTCTCCCTTGGGGGCCCCCATGTTTAAACATTTATTAAATAATTCATTAAGCAAAGGTGTTGGGACATTGCACTACATGGCGCCTGAGCAAGCTAATAGTACCCAGTAAACCCTAAACCCTAAACCCTAAACCCTAAACCCTAAACACTAGAGGAGGTATCTTAAACCATGTATATTTCTATTCTGGGGGTTTAAAGTGTATAATAACACGGATGTAAAAAGAAGAAGACACTATATAGGCAAACTCCCCAACTCCCCCCGATGTTAGGGGATACCTAGGGTTTAGGGTTTAGGGTTTAGGGTTTAGGGTTTAGGGTTTACGAATTTTTTCTTTGTTTTTTCGTATATAGGTATCTCCAGAGTGCAGATATATTTTCATTAGGTGTTTGTTGATTTGATATTTTTAGGGTTTAGGGTTTAGGGTTTAGGGTTTAGGGTTTAGGGTTTAGGGTTTAGGGTTTGTGTATACAGGTATGGACAGAGTGCAGATATATTTTCTTTAGGTGTTTGTTTATTTGAATTGTGGGCAATTCCTTTCCCAACAGCAATGGAGAGATCATTGGTCTTAGGTGCATTATCTCAGCAGAGTAATGCATGGCTGCAGCAGCAAAGGTTGCTGCTGCAGCAGCAGCTACTGCTGCAGCAAATGCAGCAGCAGCAACAACAACAACAACAACAACAACAACAACAACAACAACAACAACAACAACAACAGATACGGGAGGAGAAACAGGAGGAGGAGCAGGAGGCACAACAGGAGGAGGGAGGGGAAGAAGAAAAAGAACAAGGAGGAGGAGGAGGGATAGAAATAGATACACAACAGAAACAACAGCAGCAACTTGCTGAGCAGCAGCAGCAGCAACAGCAGCAACAAGAACAATTGCTGCTGCTACAAGAGATGGAGATGTTAAAGAGGCAGCAAAGACAGCAGCAAAAACAAAAGAAAGCTCGTGACAAGCAGCAACGTGCTGCAGTCCGTGCTGCTGCTGCTGCAGCAGCAGCAGCAGCAGCAGGAGCTGCAGCAGGGAATAGCGCAGCAACCCCGGCACCTCCAGGAGCCGCAAAAACAGCAGCAAAACCGCAACAAGCAGCAGGAGGAGGAGCAGCAGGAGCAGCAGCAACAGGAGAAGAAGAGGAAGAAGATTCTTTTGATTTATATGGATTTGTTTCCTGTTTTGTTCCTCGTGTTATTGCTAATCTTCTTGTTCCTCTGCTGCAGCGTAAACCCCAAGATAGACCACAAGCAAGAGATGTATTATCATTAGATTTCTTTCTTTCTCCCCCCCCTAAGGAATTAATATTACCTTTTTATGCTGCTGCTCTTAAAGGAAGAAAAAAACCTGCTGCTGCTGCTGCTGCTGCTGCTGCTGCGGCTGCGGCTGCTGCTAATGATACCACACATCCTGAAAAAGACACAGAAACCATCTCTCCATTCACACCCGTAAACCCTAATAAACCCTAAACCCTAAACCCTAAACCCTAAACCCTAATCATGGTGTCTATATATGTATATTATCCGCCACCTGCAGTATCCACAACTCCCTAATACCACCTCAAACCCAACCCCACCTAAGACAAGGGTTTAAGATATACAATTCAGAATTTAGGGTTTAGGGTTTAGGGTTTAGGGTTTAGGGTTTAGGGTTTAGGGTTTATATATATGTATGTATAGGTTCTTCATTTATTAAGAGAATCTCCTTTTGGTACAGAAGCTGTACAGACAGTTGCGCAATTATTAAGACAAAATGTCTCAATAGATCGATTAATTAACTTTTATTCTTTTGATGCTCATAAACTTACTCTTGTACGACAAACCCTAAACCCTAAACCCTAAACCCTAAACCCTAATTTTCATAATGAGGAAATAATTGACATATACACACACAAACAATGCAGCAACCAAAAGTGTTGCTGCTGCAGCACAAACAACAGCAATAGCAACAGCAGCAGCAGCAGCGGGGGAGGGCTTCGTGTGTGTATATGTGTGCTGCAGCAAGGGGGCCCCTCTGCATTACAGCTGCGTCAGTGTTTGATAGATTTGCTGCTGCAGCAGTCGCAGCAGCTGCTGCAGCAGAGGGGGGCCCCATTAAAAAGATTTCCTGTGCTGCTGCCTTGCTGCACGGATAGATCTAAACCCCTTTCTTATCTACAAAGTTGTATTAAGCTGCAGCAGCAGCTGCTGCTGCTGCTGCACAATCAACGATCCTCTCCTAGAGGTATATTTACTAAAACCCTAATATGTAAACCCTAAACCCTTAAAACACTTCTTATTAGACCAATAAAGCTCTCTTACACCCCTCACCAGCGAGGGTTTAGGGTTTAGGGTTTAGGGTTTGGTGTGTATACAGGTGAAGGGAGAGGGGATTCATCGCCTAGGGGTAATGTTATATTGTCTCCTTCTCCTCGTTTATCTGCTGCTGCTTCTGCTGCTCTTTGTCTCTCTGATGGGGTCTTTAGACCCTTTGAGCTACCGCTGCTGCGTCCTGCGGCTGCTGTTGCTGCTGCTGCTGCTGGTACTGTTAATACACGAACCAGTAGTACAGGCAACAGCAGCAGCGGCAGCAACAGCAGCAGCAGCAGCAGCAAAGGGGGGAGAGGGACACAGCAGCAGGGATTACCTGAATTATTTATTCCTTTTAATTGCCTCTCTCCTTATGCGGGCTTAGCAATTAGTGATTTGCATGCAGCAGCTGCTGCTGCTGCTGCTGATCTAGCAGAAAATGCAGCTGCAACAGCAGCAGCAGCAGCAGCAGCCGCTGCTGCTGCAGAGAGGGAGGCCGAAACCCACACAGCTGCTGCTGCTGCTGAAATGTCCCAAGAGTCCATTGGGGCACAAAGCAGCAGCAGCAGCAGCAGCGGCAGCAGCAGCGGCAGCAAGAGCAGCGGTTCGTTGAATGGTCGTTCAACGGAGGCAGCAGCAAGTGCCGCAGCAGCAGGTGCAGCAGCAGCGATAGCAGCAAGTACAGCCGCAGCAGCAGCAGCAGACACAGCAGCAGCAGCAGCAAAAAAGGAGACAGAACAAGGGTTATGTCTCCCTGGTTCTGTATATAGAGTATTAGGTGCAGCAGCAACTCCTATGTTGCTGCCCTTTGCTATATTACCTGCTGCTGCTGCAGCAGCAGCAGCAGCAGCAGCAGAAGATCCTCCAAGCAGCAGATCCCCAGTACAAAAGGCATGTTATATAGGAAGCAGTTACCGCAGCAGCAGGAAGCAGCAGCAGCAGCAGCAGCCCCAAGCCTCCGTGTCTTGTGTCTATCTGCTGCTGCTGCATGCACCATCTATTGATATGTGGGCATCTTCCTTAGAACTTTCTTCGGGTGTATTGACAGCTTACTTCGAGGTAGATGCTGCTGCTGCTGCTGCAGATATATTAGCACCTGCTGCTGCTGCTGCAGCAGCAGCAGCAGCAGCAGGAAAGGAGCCACATGAATATTTTACTATGTTATGGACATGCTCGGCTTTCTTACCCGTCATACTTGAATTCGCCTTCGATGTAATAAACCCTAAACCCTAAACCCTAAACCCTAAACCCTAATTCGGAATTATTAACTCTAAAACAAACACCGGTCGTTTCGCTTCCTTCTCTACACACACCGCATTGCGATTGAGGGTTTAGGGTTTAGGGTTTAGGGTTTAGGGTTTGGTGTGTGTTTAGGTGGCTCCTGAATCTGTTATGTCATTAGATGTATGGCTACGAGCAACTGCTGCTGCTGGCTTGCTGACGGAGGGTTTGCTGCTGCAGCAGCTGCAGGCAGTAGAGGCAGCAAGAGTAGGGGCATTAAGTTTTGATGCTTCTCCTGCAGCAGAGATGCTGCAGCAGCAGCACCTGCTGCTGCAGCAGCAGCAGCACACAGCTATGATGTGGGCAGAGCAGGAGCCCTCTGCAGACCTCAGAAATCGATGCAGCAGACTGTGGAAGCTTCTCACCCTCACACAGTAAGAGGGTTTAGGGTTTAGGGTTTAGGAATTAGGGTTTAGGGTTTAGGGTTTCGAGTGCTTGCAGTACATTATTCCGTTTTGCGTGTTTGGCTTTCTCTGTGTGCAACTGCATTCATGTTTACTGCCTAGGGTTTAGGGTTTAGGGTTTAGGGATTCGAGTTCTCCTGTTGAACTAGGGTTTAGGGTTTAGGGTTTGTGCTGTGTGGTGGTGCAGCGAGGATGCATCCGAGTTTGTTGCTGCTGCGCGTCCTTTGCTGCGGCAGCGGGAGCCTGAGGAGTTGTCAATTGCTTCCTCCTCTTCTGCTGCTGCTTCTGCTGCTGCTGCTGCTGCTGCATCGGAGGTAGCTGACGAAGATATAATGGATCCACCTCTGCACCGCTGCGTAGAGGAGCAGCTGCAGAGGCTGCTGCTGCTGCAGCATTTGCTGCAGGAGATTGAGGGTTTCGAAGGGCCGCAGCAGCTAGTGTTTACGTTGCTGCTGCCTGTAGACCGCAGCAGCTGCAGCAGCGGCTTCTTCTTTTGTATCTTGGGTTCTGTGGTGCAGCAGCAGCAGCAGCCGAGCAAGCAGCAGCAGCAGCAGCAACACAAACAACAATACCAATACAATAAGCAGCAGCAACAGCAACAGCAGCAGCAGCAGCAAACAAAATTTAGAGAAGTGTTTGCTGTTGGTGGCAGATGCGATAGACTTATGCGCCAGGCTAAAGGGGGAGATGGGCCAGCAGCAGCAGCAGCAGCTGCTGCTGCTGCTGCTGCTGCTGCTATTTTTGTTGAAGTAGATATTGACTGTCTCTGTTCTAGGCTGCTTCAGATCCAGCAGCAGCAGCCAGAGTCCCCTGCAGCAGCAGCAGCAGCTGCTGCTGCTGCTGCTGCGCTCACTCCAGTATGGAACGAATCCAACAGCAGCAACAGCAACAGCAACAGCAGCAGCAGCAACACCGGCAGCAAACGCAGCAGCTGTGACACTGCCAGCAGCAGCCAAAGTAGCAGCAGTGCTAGCAGCAGCAGTAGTAGTAGTAGTAGTAGTGCTAGCAGCAGCAGTAGCAGCAGCAGCAGCAGTAGCAGCAGCTACTGCATGAGCAACAGCAGCACAAGCAGCAACCTCCATGATGTTGCTGCTGGATGGGTACTGCCGCAAGTGCTGCTGTGTGTGCAGCAGCAGCAGCCGATGCTGCTGCATGCGGCCTTTCATCTTAGAGCCCTCTTGTTAAAACACGGACTGAAGGTAAACCCTAAACCCTACGAAACCCTAAACCCTAAACCCTAGGAAACCCTAAATCACCATCCTAAACCCTAAAAACCCTAAAATCAAAAACCCTAGGAAAACCCCCAACCCTCGACATAATAAACCCTAAAGGGAGTGTCCCTGCGCCATGGAAGCACTTAAACCCTGGGCACCCCTCGTAAACCCTCATAAACCCTAAACCCTAAACCCTAATTGTGTGTTCAGTGCGAGACGCGGCAAATGCCAATTGGCGAGGCGCGGCGACTTCGCAAAACCCTAAAAAGATCAGGGACCCCTAGAGGCTTGCAATGGCTTGTCTCCCTTACAGCAGCAGCAACTCCTGCTGCTGCTGCTGCTGCAGCAGCAGCAACAAGTGCAGCAGCAACAGGTGCAGCAGATACACAGGCAGTCGCCTATCAAGTTGAAAGCCTCCATGTGGATCAATGGACTCGAGTAACAAACCCTAAACCCTAAACCCCAGACCCTAAACCCTACAGATTCACAAACGCTGCGAGAAGTCTTCAAAGCTGTATATCGTAAAACCCTCACTGAGGGTTTGAGACTGGGAGGGAGGTTTAGGGCTTAGGGTTTTAGGGTTTAGGGTTTTAGGGTTTAGGGTTTAGGGTTTGGCGTGTGTTGTGTTCAGACGTTTGACCGCATGGAGGATGTGGCGATGTTTCTCCTCACGAAGTCGTCAACTGTATAAGAGGACGGCTCTAAACCCTAAACCCTAAACCCTAATCAGGTCATAAAGAGTAAGGTTGTTGCGGCATTAAGGGTTTATGGTGTTGCGCTGCAACGATGGGAACCTTAAACCCTAATCAGGTCTTACAGGGTTGGTTTCTAGGGTTTAGGGTTTAGGGTGTTATGGTCCAGCGATACAAACCCTAAACCCTAAACCCTAAACCCTAATTATTTGCCGAGGCAGAAATTTTTCTGAATTATTTCAACTGCCTCTCTTGTTTTCCATTTGATGCCTCTTAATTTACTTAGCAAATGTAAGGCGAAGCTGCACGCAAACCCTAAACCCCAAACCCTAAACCCTAAACCCTAAACCCTTCCCCAGCTAGGTCGTAGGCATGAGGCATTGCTACCTGCTGCTGCTGCTGCTGCAGAGAGATCGAGGGTTTATGAATATTGTTAAGCACTGGTTGTATGGCTGGTTCAAATGCATTAGTGTTTAGGGTCTAGGGTTTAGTTAGGGTTTAGGGTTTAGGGTTTAGGGTTTACTGTAGGTCTTCAACTTTTTCTTCAAGAGCTTCTTCTATACCTAAGAAATGCTCGAGGGTTTCCTCTAGCTGCTGCAGCAGGATACGTTCGCTTTGTAGGCAGAATAATGCCTCTCCTCCCCCGCTGCTGCTGCTGCTGCTGTTGCTGCTGCTGCTGCTGCTGATGGATTGTATAGACAGCAGCAACTGCTGCAGATTAAGTTTATTAACACAAGAAATAGGTAATATACGCTGATGTAAACCCTCGTAAACCCTAAAAGAAGAAATAAAAGGCAAAACACTAATTGGCAACAAATTATCTATACTATTATCTAAACGATGCAGCAAATCCCCTGCTGCTGCTGCTGCTGCTGCTGCTGCTGCTGAGGATTCTGCATCCTGCTGCGGTTGCTGCTGCTGCTGGCTAGATGCACCAGTACGAGGATCACTACCCACACACAATGAAGCGCTGCTGCTGCTGCTGTTGCTGCTTCCCTTGCTGCTGCTGCTGCTGCTGCTGCTTTGATTAGATAGTAGATCCGTCTTGTTAACAAGTATAAAGATGTGGGGTTTTTTCTTCTTTTCTTCTCCCTCTTTTATTATATCCTTTAATGCCTCCCCTAGCTGCTGCAGCTGCTGCTGCAGATGCTGCAGCTGCGCCTCTTGCTGCTGCTCTTTCTGCTGTTGTTGCTGCTGCGGGGAAGCCGCCAAGAGCAGCAGGAGGACATCGCTCTCTCTTGCTGCCTCTATAGAGCGCTTCATACCTTCTATTTCAACAGGACTCACAGCAGCAGCACCTGCTGCTGCTGCAGCAGTACCAGGAGCAGCAGCACCAGCAGGAGCAGCAGCAGGTCTTAGTCCTGCACAATCTGTTAGCTGTAGCTTAAATAGACCTTTTCCTTCTTTGCTGCAGCAAAGGGAACTCCTAAGAAGATCACGAGTTGTTCCTTCCTCTGTTGATACAATTGCTGCTTCTTTATTTAATAATATATTGTATAAACTACTTTTCCCTGATAATACACCACAAAAAGGGTTTAGGGTTTAGGGTTTAGGGTTTAGGGTTTGGACAACAGGGTTAAAGGCGTAAGAAGAGGGGCTGTCTTCGACGAGCGGTGCTGCACTAGGAGATGATAGGATACGCTTTCTAGGGTTTAGGGTTTAGTACGGTTTCTAGGGTTTCTAGTGTTTAGGGTTTCTAGGGTTTAGGGTTTAGGGTTTCTAGGGTTTAGGGTTTAGGGTTTCTCACCTGCATTAGGAGGGCCTAGGAGTAGGACGGAGAGTCCTTCTTCTATTTGTGTTTGTGTAGTAAGTTTGTTGCGTTCTTCTCTTAGTTCTTTTAGTACTGCTGCTGCTGCAGGGTCTGCTGCTGCTGCTGCAGCAGCAGCAGCAGCAGAATCTGTTTGTTCTCTATCATCCCCTATAGCCAGTGCTGCCTCTAGGGCCCCTAAACCCTCAAGCAAAACCCTAATCCATCCTTGTATTCTTTCTTCTCTTTCTTTCCGACCTAATAAACCCTTTGCAGCAATAGATAACTCATTAGATCCTCCTGCCTGCACACAAACCCTAAACCCTAAACCCTAAGAGTTGGGACTCTACAGAAAAGGGTCTAATACTCTTACACCAACGGTTTATAGGGGTACAGGACACATCCAATACCTCTATCCTTCACAATCTAGGGTTTAGGGTTTAGGGTTTAGGGTTTAGGGTTTAGGGTTTACATTGAGTAGGGCCCCAAGCGCATGCAATTGATGGACATTTTTCTTCCCATTTAAAAAAGAGCGAAGAGCAAATTCTCCTCTATTTGCTAAACGAATATGTCGCTTTAAGGGGGCCCCCACGGGGGCCCCCCCTTTATCCCTTCTGCTGCAGCAGCAGACGCAACCTGCTGCTGGTGATGCTGCTGTTGCTGAGTTGCCTGCTGCCTGCGACGGCACCTGCTGCTGCTGCTGCTGTTGTTGCTGCTGCTGTTGCTGCTGTTGCTGCTGTGCGATGAATCTGTCTAGGAGAAGGTTAAGAAGACGATGTAAGCAGGAGCATTTGGTTTGCTGCTGCTGCTGCAGTTCCTGCTGCAGTTGCTGCTGTTGCTGCTGCAGTTGTTGCTGCTGCTGCAGCAGGTGTTGTAACCCATCAATTTGTAGGGTTTGTTGATTATTATTTATTTGTATTAATCCTGAATAAATATCTTTTAATGTTTTTCTTTTTTTTTCTTCTTTTTTTTCTTCTTTTTTATTTATTTTATTAATTATATTATAATCTATTGGGTATAAATTTAATTCAATTTGTTTAAACAAATCAAACAAAACACTCAAAGTCGCCAAACCCCCGTGAGAGTGAATCTCCCCTACATCCTCTCCTGTATACACCATAAACCCTAAACCCTAAACCCTAAACCCTAAACCCTAAACCCTAAACACTAATTTAGGATGGTATGCATGGCAGTGTGCCGCTAATATCAAAGACAAAATCTATTATTGTTATTGCCTATCCTTCTCCTCGTATCTACCTACCTACCTACAGAGAGTACCAATGAGGGTTTAGGGTCTAGGGTTTAGGGTTTAGGGTTTACCTGTAGCAGACTTAGGCCCCTTAAAGAAAAGAAGAATAGATTCATCAATTAATTCTCCTTCCTTAAAAAAATTAAATAAAGGAGAAATAAATACTCGGCCAGCAGCAGGAGCAGCAGGCAACGATAACCACCTGCAGCAGCACCTGCTGCTGCTGCTGCTGCTGCTGCTGTTGCTGTTGCTGCTGCTGCTTAAGGGAGGGGGGTGTACATGGCATATACCTGTGTAGCTGCTGCAGGATGGACATTCACGAATGTGCTGCAGCATCTGCTGCAGTTGCTGCTGCTGCAGCTGCAGCAGCTGCAGCACGAAAGCAGCAAGAGGGCCACTTACCCTCCATACTGCAACAGCAGAAGCACCTTGTGCAGCAGCAGCAGCAGCAGAAGGACAATTGCTTCTGCTGCTTAATGCATATATTGTTGATCCATCAGCAGCAGCAAAAATCTCCTCATACTGCTGATCCTCCTCTTCCTGTAGCAGCAGCTCCTGCTGCAGCTCCTGCTGCTGCTGCTCCTGCTGCTGCTGCTGCTGCTGCTGCTGTTGCAGGCTCCTTTCGAATGGTGGGACACCTGCTGCATCATCCGCCCAAGATGATGCTGCTGCTGCTGCTGCTAGTCTTGCTGCTGCTGTTGCTGCTGATCCCCTTGCTGTTACTAGTCTTGCTGCTGCTGGTTTTGCTGCTGTTACCCTTGCTGCTGCTGCTGCTGCTGCTCTTGCTGCCTCTTGCGAGTTAAGTAATGCCCGCGAGCTGCATGGACGGATAGTACCACAGGATGTATGAGGCCAGTAAGAGAAGCACACAGGAATTCTGCTTCTGCTGCTGCTGCTGCTGCTGCTGCTGCTAGCAATGTTGCTGCTGCTCCTGCTGCTGCTCGTGTGTGTGGTGTAGAGAAGTGGCTGATGACGAGGCCAGTAAGTGCTGCAGATGACACAAGAGGGAAAGGCAAGGAACAGCAGCAAAAACAGCAGCAGCAGCAGCAGCAATAGCTGTGTATTGCCACGCATGCTTGCTGCCTCCTGCTGCTGTCACATGCTGCTGCTGTTGCTGCTGCTAGCCTTGCTGCTGCTGCTGCTGCACGGATGCCTACACATGGTAGTGGTGTTGGGTTCCATTTGTTCTGAGTGTCTTTTGTTAACCGAGGCCCCCTAACCCTAAACCCTAAACCCTAAACCCTAATGCAGTATTTCCTATATTGGCAAGACTGTCTTATCTGTATAAACAAAATAAAAGAAAAATAATTAATAAAATAAATAATTATTTATTATTTATAATAAAAAACTATCTAATAAGGTAATGAGGTCCCCTCTCTTCGATAGGGCCTCAAGACTGCTGCTGTTGCTGCTGTTGCTGCTGCTGTTGCTGCTGTTGCTTGTGTTGCAGCAGCAGCTGCTAGTGTTACTGCTGCATCGTTATCTACAATATAAAAGGAAACAAAAACATTATTAATTATATTTAATTTATTATTTTATTATTTATTGTCTATTCGTATAAATGCGCATGCATACATACATACAGGGGCCCCCCAACATCGTCATCATCCCTAGCAGCAGCAGCAGCAGCTGCTGCTGCTGCTGCCGCTGCTGCTAGGCTTTATTATGATGGAGAAGAGAGGAGCGGCTAGCACGCCTATTTTCTTGCAACTTCTTGCATGAATGTACAAAATAAAGAATAATAATGAATTAAATAAATGTTAATAAATAAAATAAAAGAATAAAAGAAGAAAAATAAGAAAAATAAATAAATAAATAAAGAAGAAGCGCTCCCTTCCTCGCACGGGACGAGAGAACGCAACACCCGCCGCTCAATTGCTGCTGCTGCAGCAGCAGCAGCAGCAGCAGCTTGTTCTCTTTTTTTTGCCTTTGTTTGTCTCTTTTTCATCTTTTTTATTCAATTTGTTTATTAATTATTTATTCTTTTTTTTATTTATTTATAAAGAAAGGAGCATTGAATTCATCTCTCCTCCTCCTCCCTTAGAAAGCCATATATACTAGACTCACTCACGGAGGAGAGAAAAGGAGAGAAAAGGGAGAAAAAAAGAGAAAAAAAAAGGAAAGAAGAAATTAATGCTTCTCCTTTTATTATATTCTTTTTATTTAAGGCATTAACCCTTTATTTATTCATAATACAACATATTATACGACTCAATCGGTTTGTTTTTATTCCTATTTGTTCCTCTTTTTTTCTTATATTCGTGGCGTTATATTTCTTCCTTTTTTTTTGTTTTTTTTTTATTAATTTTCTTATATTTGCCACACTATCTTCTTCCCTTCCTTATTATTTATACACCCGAGGGGCACACGAAGGTTATTAAGGATGCCCCCTTCTTCTTCCGTTCTCTTCAGCTGGGCGGTGGTGCTCCTCCTTGCAATCAAGGGGCCACCCAACTCCTCCAGCGTACATAATGGCCCTCTCCTCTTTGCTGCTGCTGCAGGCAGCAACATGGGGGGAAATAACCATGGAGGAGGATTCTTAGGAGGATCGATTGGCGGAGGATCGATAGGCGGAGGATCGATAGGCGGAGGTTCGATAGGCGGAGGATCAATGGGCGGAGGATCAATAGGCGGAGGTTCGATAGGCGGTGGCTCAATAGGCGGTGGCTTAATAGGCGGAGGGTCACTAGGCGGAGGGTCACTTGGCGGAGGTTCAATAGGCGGAGGGTCACTAGGCGGAGGTTCGATAGGCGGCGGATCGATAGGCGGCGGATCGATAGGCGGAGGGTTGATAGGCGGAGGGTCAACAGGCGGGGTATCGGGAACAGGATTTACAGGGGGGGCGTCGGGAGGAGGATCCACAGGAGGAGGAGGATCGGGAAAAGATGGAGAAGGAGAAGCAAACTCAAATTCAGCAGACGAATCCAAGAATGATCCCAAGAAGAAAAAGGTTTGTTAAATCAATGGACAACAACAACCAATTAACTAATAATAATAATAATAATAAAAGACAAATAAATAACTAATAATAAAAACAAAACAGATATAATTGTAACGATTAATTAAAGGTTTAAGTTATTAAATACTCCACATAGACGTTTCTTCATATATTTTTTTTTTGTATTTAACAACAATATCTTCTTTAGAGGAGGATAATGATCTTATACACCTTGATTGGATATTTATACACAAACATAATATATAATTAAATATACCTGTATGTATTTTTATATTAATTTATATATGTATTTTCTTCATGTATATGTGTATATGTATATAGGAGGGACCACAACAAGGTCGTCTTGGCCCCCCTAGAAATCCTCCTCGTCAACAACAACAGCAACAGTCGAAGGACAGCAACAAAGGTCTTGCACAGGCATTACCTCTTTTATGGAATGCCGCTTCTAATACCTCCGTTAGTCAATTTTTCCCTGCTTTTTACTAGTACTCTGCCACTGCTGCTGCTGCTTTTGCTGCTGACCTCTCATGTTGTTGCTATTGTTTTCCTTAATTTATTATTCCCTTTTAGAATATACCCACCGCCATCATTTATGCCCATTTTTTTTTTCATTTTTATCTATTCAGGCTGCATCGGATGAGGCGACAGAATTAGAGGAATATAATGCAGCTCTCTCACGTATTTTTGAGAGGCGAATGGCATTTCAGTACGTTTTTATTTATCCCCATTTCCCCCATTTGTTTGTTTGTTTTTTTGTTCGTTTATTTAATTGTTACCTAGCATTACCATGCATTCATTTATTTTTGAATATTGTATTACTCTTTTCTACACACCAATATACACATATACATATATATAGTATATACAACTATACTTTGTGTGTATACAACTACACTTTTTTGTGTATGTTATGTATATTTAGGCCACGCTATCGTGGTGCTTTAGAGGATATAAATGAGGCGATGTCTCGTGATTTATTGGAGACTAATAAGAAGATGTCAGCAAGCGAGCGTCAGAAGATATTATACAGTTTAGGTGGTCGTGGCACATATTTAGAGGTTCCCCCACTACTACTTGAATTACGTGAAGAGGCGGATCATCCTGTAGCGGAGCGTCTTCGTATTCAAGGATTACATCGTCAGAGACGTCGTGGTATACCAATTAACTTTGATGATCTAAGAAAGCGACCATTTGTTCATAGAGAATTTACAGGTCCTGTTACAACTGTTGACTATGAGACCGATCTTACGGAGGCAGATATTCATCAAAGACAGAGTGGTATCAATGGATGGCTTCAGATGCAGAATAGGGCAAGAGTCCTTCAGAAGCAGCATCTTCGTCACCGTAGGAATGTAGGAGCAAGCGATCCAGTATATGATGACGATTTCCAGATAGATGAAGAGGATCTTGTTGGTCTGAGTTTTAATGGAAAGCTTAGCAAGGACGAAGGAGGAGAATATGGAGAGGAATATCTTGAATATATTGAAGGAGAAGCCGCCAAGGGTTCAGATAGTGAGGAGGAAGTTGTCGAAGGTAACGAGCACGAAAGCGTCAATTTATAAATTGGCTCCATCATTATTTGATCAACATCGTCAAGAATCCTTCTTCCTCTTCTCTATATATCCTTTTCCTTCAAGAATTAAATATTCATAATTAATGCAGTTTAAATGTTCTGAACGCAGTATATATGGTATATCAGCTGATCTACACCTGCGGTACAGATTCAACTTTGGGGTGTATGGACACCTCCATCAAGAATGAATACGCACGCAAGCGCACGCACACACTTCATTTTTCAAAGCGGGAAGAAGAAAATTCTCTTTATACGCTTTGTCTACGCGATTATACGATCTTTTTTGCGGTAATATCTGCAGTTAATTGTTAGAACTACTCCTCCCAACGAACTAGTATATGCCTCTTCTTCCTTCTGGCTTCTCTGTATCTATAAACTGTAACAGACAACGCTTTATACACTCCTAATTTCTTATTTTTATCCAATTAATTAATACATAAATGACCCTTTCGTTTGTCACAGCATCATTAAATGTCAGCAAATACCCACCATGATATGATCGATCGTCAACTTGACTGCTGACTTACGCGGCGGTGCACGGGTGCCTGGATACAGGCCCTTATTTATTTTATTTAAACTCTTTAAAATTATAAAAATTCCTTTCTATCTAGTATTCTTTGCTTCTATTATTTTCCTGTTATTCAACAGTTGCAAGAGAGAGTTGTGCTGGTAGTTGTGGCTGTCTTGTGGCTGCGGCTGGCTGCCGACTGCTACTGGCAGGCGGCAGCGGCGGTGGCGAAGCAAGGAGGGGAGGAACGTTCTTTTATCTTGTCTGTGAATAAAAAATTAAATAATACAGTTATTTAAATCAAAATTTGCAACTTAAAAATTCCCGAAATTTGTACACCAACACAAGTCTATTACTTGAATAGCAAGAGGGAGGGGCCCCAGGGGGTCTCGATGACCTTGCATACGCACAATCAATGAGCTCCTTTTCTATTACACATATTATAATGACTTTATATTTCTTATCTTTTCTTTTCTATTATAATTAGTTGCAACGACTGGGAGTCATCATCCATCTTAACTGGTTGTTTATTGGGGTTTGTTATTATTACGCCTTTAAACTGGCTACTAGCTTATTCAGGTGTATACGCACCTATAAGCAACATAATGCCAAGTACAGCAGAGAGTGTAGAACTTCCCATTCCTCTCGTTGCTCCGGTCGCTGACACCAGCACCTGGAAATGGTAAGTAAAATACACATTCTCAAGCCCTAAACCCTTATCCATAGACCCTAAGTACGGGATGAGTCTGTATTTTGCTCTTTTTTGCGGAGGTATGCAGAAAGTAATGTTTATGGTCATAAATATTCCTTTAGAGAATAATAAGTAATATATAATGTGTATGTGTATATGAATAATATATAATTAAATGTTGTATGAAGTCGGACATATTTATACAAAAAGAGAAAATAACGACATATGAAGGCTGTTCCTTATGTAACTGTTATAGAAACAACAGGAGCAGCAGCAGCAACAGCAGCAACAGCAGCAACGTGAGCAGCATAAACAGCATCAACAGCAGCAGCAACAAGCAATATCCTCTATCTGGAGACTCCACTTGTTCCTATTTATATATATGTATATTAATAATTGATTTGTTGTATGAGCAGCAGCAAAGAAAGAAGACGAACAGAGAGCAGCACATTTGAAGGAAAATGGCGACTAAGTGGGGAGTCTTACCTCCATAAACAATTAGATATTCCTTCCTTATCTAAAGTATTGCAACAAATGCCTAAACAGATGCTGCTGCTGCAGCAGCAGCAGCAGCAGCAATACTATCTACATCGTATTCGTGTTGCACCTGATCTCCAACAATTCCCTCTCCTGCAATCTAATGCATGCAAATTCTTAGGAGATTCATGCAGGTATACACTTATTTATTTATTTATTTGTTTATTTATATTCCTGTTTGTTGTGTCCTTTTCTTCTTTTATTGTGTCTCCTTATAACTCTCTTTCTTCTTTTCTTTTCTTTATTTCCTTTTATTTATTCTTTTTCTTTTTATGCATTTGTTTATCTGTCTTAATCTATTTCTGTCTCTTTCTTTCTCTCTTTCCTTCTTTCCTTCTTTCTCTTTTCCTTTTCTTGCCTCCTTTTTATCCCTTTTTTTGTCCTTTCTTTTGTCCCTCTCTCCCTTTTGCCTCCTCTCTTTCTGTCTCTTCTTCCGTCTCTGTGTCCTTTTTGTTTCCTCTCCTTCTGTGTCTACTTCTGTCCTTCCTGCTTATTTCTTCTGTCCCTTTATTTCTTCTGTCTCCTTATTTCTTCTTTTTCCTTCCTTTCTTGTTGTTGTTGTTGCAAATCTTTATACAGAGAACAGACACTGTCTGCTCCTCCTGCTGAGTCTCTTGTGGCTTCGAACCCTGCGGAATCGGGATCGGGATCGGGATCGGGATCGTGTGTGGGATCGGGATCGTGTGTGGGATCGGGATCGGGATCGTTGGGATCGGTTCGATCCCGTGTCCGTCCTGATATATTATTAGAGTCTACCCCTGAGCAGCAACTACGATGGCAATCAGAGACCCATCGTAATTATAAAGGGTCTCCTCTTTTATCCTTTCATCTCCCTTTTATATATTGTCCTTCTTCGCATGCATTTACTGCAGCAAAAAGCCCCACAGCAGCAAATGCTACTGCTAGTCTTGTTACCTCTATTACCCCACACCCTATACATAAACATTTACAACCATTAGGGGGGGTATAATTATTTTCCTTCTTCTTTCTTTTTTTCTTTTCTTTTCTTCTCTCCTTTTCTTTTCTGTCCTCTTCTTTTCTTATATTTATAATTAACAACAAGTACATGTTTATTTCCTTACCCTTTTATTCAATCCATCCTCTATAACCCTCTCTCTTGTTATTATACAGCTAGCTACAGCTAGCTGCAGCTAGCTACAGTTAACTACAGCTAGCTACAGATAGTAGCTACGGCTAGTAGCTACAACTAGTAGCTACCGCTAGCTACAGTTCGTATCTAGAGGTATTAGCTACGGCTAGCTGCGCAGTAATACAGACGGCCAGCTAGCTACCTACCAATGGATATCTATATGCAGACACTTAATGTCAGCTAGCTACCCATTTACTATCAATATAAAGGACAGCTAGCTGGTGCAGAGAAATACAAATGCCTAAGAGCTAGATCTAGCTAGCTAGCTGCCGCTAGAACAGCAGCAGCAGCAGCAGCAGCAACGGCAGTAGCAGCAAATGGTTTGACCTGATGACGTCTTGAGTTGCTTTATCTATATCTGGCTAACTCGTGCTGCATCTCGGCAGCAGCTGCTGCAGCAGGGCTGTTGCAGCAGGTGCAGCAGCAGCAGCAGCAGCAGCAGCAGTTGCTGCCCTTTTGACTAAACAACGACTAATACAACTATTGTGTGTTGTTGTTAAGAAAGAGATAATAACACACACGTCGATTGTATGACGAATAAAACCGCTTAAACCCTCTTCTGTTTAGTCTGCTGCTGCTGCTGCTGCTGCTGCAACAGCAGCAACAGCATTAACAGCAGCAAAGAGTCTGTGTTGTTCTTTATAGGTGTCTAATAAAAATAACACAATATTTATATTTCCTTCTAAAACCCTTTAGTTACATATTTTAATTTACTTATTTTGTGGAGAAATATGTGGTTACTATAGACAGCAGCTCTAAAACCCTAAACCCTAAACCCTAAACCCTAATTTGTGCATGCACGGTTGTTAATGTGTGTATGGCAGAGAGGGAGTGTTAAGGGAAGAAATACTTTAATAGAAATCTAAAGAGAAAATGTTTATATTTAACAATTAACAAATACAAAAATATATTTAAAATATATTCTTTTGTGGGGTTTATAGCCATATTAGTGTTTAGTGTTTAGTGTTTAGGGTTTAGGGTTTAGCAGCAGCAGCGGCTTCCGCTTCTGAATTTCCTAACTATTGACGTCAATTTCTTCGTCATTTATTTTATTTAATTACTATTTTTATTTATGTATCCCTTTTTATTCTTTTTTCTCTTTTTTATTAATCGTTTAAACACTTTTATACTCCAAATGCAGCCTCCAAACGAAATTTCGGTTAGAAACCCTAAACCCTAAACCCTAGATTCCGTAAACCCTAAACCCTTGAACGGGAACCTTAGGGAGCAGACCCGACTTCACCACCCTAAACCCTAAACCATACACCAATGGTCCCAAGACCTACACCACAGATTCTAAACCCTAAATCCCAAACGCTTAACCCTCGAACCCAAACCCTAAACCCTAAACCCTAAACCCTAAACACTTTTTCTGGTGGATGGCGTGCAGTATTTGTCTATGGCGGAGGCCAAGAAGTTGGACGAGGAGTTGATGGGCTCGGATATGCAATACGATTTAATCCAGGTACGGTTTTAGGGTTTAGGGTTTAGGGTTTAAAGGTTTTAGGGTTTAGGGTTGGAGCTGGGGGTGCTTGTACAACGGATCCTCGCTATTTCCCTATCCAATGCTTTTTTATTGTTGTGTACTTCTAATAAATCTTTTATTTATTTATTTATTTATTTATTTATTTATTTATTTATTTATTGCAGCTAATGGAGTTAGCTGGTTATAGCGTAAGTTGTGCGATTTTTTCTTCTTTTAAAGAAATAACAAACAAAGAGCCAAACGGAGATGCAAAAGTAATTATTCTTGTTGGACCAGGTAAACCCTAAACCCTCGCTAAACCCTAAACCCTAGTTAGACCCTAACCCCTAAATAACTTTGAACCCTAAGGCGCAAAAGAGGGGAAAATTCGTAGGGCTTATATATGGTGGAGATGCAGTATCTGCGGGTGGCCCAACTCCCAAACCCTAAACCCTAAACCCTAGCTAAACCCTAAACCCTAATTGCTGTTGCCTACAGGAAACAATGGAGGAGATGGTCTTGTTGCTGCTCGTCATCTTCGCCTGTTTGGTCTACAAGTAGATGTTGTTTGTCCTCTTGAACCCAAGAAGCAAATCTACGCTGTCCGTCAAGGGTTTAGGGTTTGGGGTTTAGGGTTTAGGGTTTGGGGTTTAGGGTTTAAGGTTTAGGGTTTAGGGTTTAGGGTTTCGCGCGTCTTCAGGCTCTGCTGCAGCAGGCGAAGCAACACGGCGTGGGGGTCTTCACGGAAATGCCGTCTGGTGAGCCCAAACCCTAAACCCTAAACCCTAAACCCTAAACCCTAAACCCTAGATCATTTTTATTTATATAAAATATATAAAATATATAGAGTATTTATTGAATATATATTCAGTTTATTACTGTTTAATTAATTAACTAATTAACCAACTAAATAAATAAATAAATAAATAAAATACATAAATAAATAAATAAATAAATAATTGTTGCTGCAGAGATGAATAAATACGACTTAGCAGTTGACGCGATTTTTGGTTTTGGATTTCGTGGCAAAATTAATAATCCTTATTTGCTGCTGCTGCAGCAGCTCAGCAGCAGCAGCAGCAGCAGCAGCAGCAGCAGCAAGTTGCCTATTTTTTCTATTGATGTTCCCTCTGGATGCAGCGATGAAGAAGGTAATCCTTTTATTTCTTTTCTTTTGCTGCTGTTGCTGCTCCTGCTGCTGCTGCTGCTAACGCTGCTGCGGTTTATGTTGTTGTTGCAGCAGCAGCTGCTGCTGCTGTATCGTATGTCTCCTTAATCCTGTGTTAATTTATTTATATATATATTTATTTATTTATTTATTTATACAGACCCTGCTACCTCTTCCTATAAGGTTTCCCCTTGTGCTGTTATTTCCTTAACTGCCCCCAAGTTATGTATGAAGGGTTTCCAAGGAATTCATTTCTTAGGAGGAAGATTTCTTCCTAAGTACGATAAACCCTAAACCCTAAACCCTAAACCCTAAATATTATATTTATTACTTATCTGTCCGCTTGAATCGTCTCTGGCTTCATAAACCCTAAACCCTAAACCCTAATGTTGTTCCGCTTGGGTGTATGCAGTTGGTTGAAGGAGAAGTATGGCCTCCTCCTCCCAGACTACCCAGGTAACCTAAACCCTAGACCCTAAACCCTTGCTAAAAACCCTAAACCCTAGCTCTAAACCCTAAACCCTAGCTCTAAGCCCTAAACCCTAATTGTATATTTTTTCCTTTTTTAGGTACTTCTTCCTTCATTCGTCTTCCTAGTCCGCCAAAAACAACATCTTAAAATCCCCTTGGGGAAGGATCAGTTTATCCGTAAACCCCAAACCCTAAACCCTAAACCGTAAACCCTAAACCCTTTTTTAGGGTTTACTTAGAACGTACTTCTGTAGGGAAGGTCTCGCAAACAGCAGTTGATAAAAACTGCATTTGTTGTTGGGTTAGATTAGAAAACACTGCAGGGTCCTGCAAAAAAATGCAAACCCTAAACCCTAAACCCTCAATAAACCCTGGCGCTTACTAGTGTTTACATTATTCTGTTGAATGCCAAACTAGGGTTTAGGGTTTATGGCCCTTGTACATGCTGAATGCCGTTATATAAACCGTAAACTACCTTTCTGCCGCTTATCATTAGGGTTTAGGGTTTAGGGTTTATTAGGGTTTAGCACTTATTGGCCTGCCATAGGTCAGGTGGTGTGCGGGTAGGCAGTAGGGCTGAAGTCTGGCTCTCCCTCCCGCCCCCCCCTACCCCTAAACCCTAAACCCTAAACCCTTACCGATACAGAAGGTGGAGGTTTAAATAAGAAGCGAAGAGTAATTGAATATTTATTAAGACGATTATTATAAAATTTATCTGTTATATTTATCTCTGCAGCAGGAAGAGGGCCCCCTCCTCCCCTTAATAAAGTCAGCAGCCCTTCCTCATGCTTCCTGCAGCAGCAGCAGCAACAACAACAACAGCAGCAACAGCAGCAGCAGGAGGAATAATAACAATAGCCAAGAATGACTAATGACACCGCTAGAAGCAGTTGCTGCAGCAGCAGCAGCAGCAGAAGCTGCTGCTGCAGCACAGCAGTGGTAGTCGTAGCAATACGTGGCAGTAACATAGCCTACTACCGTCACTTTAGGGTTTAGGGTTTAGGGTTTAGGGTTTACCAGCGCCAACTGTTGTCTGTCTGTACGATGTCTTGCGGTTGTAGCCAAAGGGATAAATCCTTAGACAACTAAAAGCAACAATAAATAATAAATAAATAAATAAATAAATAATAAATAGTAAATAAATAATAAAAAATATATATACAATACCGCGGAAGCCAGCCAAAGCATCACCGAAGGCAGCAGCAGCAACAGCAGCAGGAGCAGCAACAGCAGCAAGAGCAGCAACAGCAACAGCGAAAAAACCAACAACAGCAGCAGCAGCAGCACCACCCACACCACAACCAGCATCAGCATCAGCAGCAGCAGCAGCAGCAGCAGCACCACCACCACCACCAGCACCACGACCACCACCAGCAACGGCAACCACAGCAACAGCAACAGCAGCAACGGCAGCAGCAGCAGCAGCAGCAGCAGCAGGAACTTACAGGTTTAAGTGTAGAGAAAGGTATAAATTGTTTAATTTTGCCATCAATGAATTGCTGCTGCAGCAGCAAATGATTTTGCTGCAGCAAACGAATATCTTTTATTGTACAACTAACCATGCATAGTCTATCTATACCTAACCCTAATGCCCAAACAGATGGAGGGTTTGCTGCTGCTGTTGCTCCTGCTGCTCCTGCTGCTGCTCCTCCTGCTGCTGCGGGGGGTGGGGGCATTGCTGATGATACTATAGAGGGGAGTAACACACCACCACCTAAAACCTCCAAATAACGACCATCGTCATCCATCACCTAATCGCAAACCCTAAACCCTAAACACTAAACCCTAAACCCTAAACCCTAGGATAAACACACCATATCCAGAACCAGTAATAAAACAGCAACAAAAAGACAAACAACACCAACAGCAGTAACAGCAGCAACAGCAGCAACAGCAGCAGCAACAGCAGCAGCAGCAGCAGGTACCTCAGCCTGTATAGAAGGGTTAGTGAAGGGGAATTCATCTTTAAGTAGACGCCATTTACGTTTGGGCATTAAATTTGTTAATAAATCACCAACCACCTATAAATACATAAACCCTAAACCCTAAACCCTAATTTTAGACCCCTAAACCCTAAACCCTAATTATTAGACTCTATACCCTAAACCTTCAAAACCCTAACCATTAATGCAGAAGCTGTGGAAGCGTAGTAACACGATACAAGACGCATAAACCCTAAACCCTAGCAACCCAGACTACTAAACCCTAAACCCTAAACCCTAAACCGTAAACCCTAATTACCCTTTTTAGATCTTTTTCTGCATCTTCTCCTGGTGGCATTATTCTTAAGACCTCCATCTGATGAAAGATAGGAAAGTGTTTACTATCAATTGTATCTTTTCTGTACACTTCTCCGCTTATTACCACCGTCACGGGGGCCCCTAAGGGGGCCCCCAGAGGGGCCCCTTGGGGGCCCCCCTTTAATACCCTAACAGCTCTGTGCTGCTGCTCTTTTTTCTTTTCTTCTTCTAAATACCTAAAAACCCAACTAAGACTTTGAACAATATGAGCAGATGTATGGGTCCTCAGGCATAGGGGGGCCTCTGGGGGCCCCCCTAGGGGCCCCCCGTAGGACGGCCAGTTAAGCAGCCCCCTTGAGGGCCCCCCTACAGACGAGGTCCCGGGGCCCCCTTCCAGGGTCCCCTCTCCCTCCTTAAGGGCTCCACCCCCCGTTGGCCCCTCTTCCCCCACCTTTTTGGGGGCCCCTCCAGGGGGCCCCCCTTCCCCCTCATCTTGGGGGGCCCCCCCTGGGGGCCCCTCTTGGGTACAATTAAGATAAAATGTTTGTTGTGTAGACCTAGCAGGATGATTAATGGGTATATTTAGGGAATCAAAGTTCAATAGAGAAGAAATAAGAGGAGAAAAAGAAGAAAAATAAAATAAAAAAGAATTATTTATACATTTATATATCTTATCTGGAGGTATTATATCATATACAGCTAGGTGTCTAATACCGTCGTGCTGCTGCTGCTGCTGCTGCTGCAGTTGCTGCTGCGGTAGCTGCTGCTGCTGTTGTTGTTCGTATTGCTCTAGCTGTTGTTCCTGCTGCTGTTGCTGCTGCTCTAGCAGTTCTTCCCGCTGCAGCTGTTGCTCCTCCTCCTCTTCCTTTTGCTGCTGCTGTTGTTGCTGTTGTTGTTGTTGTTGTTGTTGTTGTTGCTGCTGCTGCTGCTGCTGCTTATATGGATGCTGTGTAAGGAAGGAGAGTATATTAGAGTGTATAATAAAGAGGGGATTAGAAGGAAAATATAAATGAATATTTCTTTGGTATAAATGGCGTAAATGGGCAGGTAGTGCTAATGCACCCTTTGCTGCTGCTGCTGCTGCTGCTGTTGCTGCTGCTGCTGTTGCTGTTGCTCCAGACGGTGCTGGAGAGGGGGCTGAGGGGGGTGCTGAGGATGATGAGGGTGCTGCTGCTGCTTCTGGTGCTTCTGCTGCTCCTGCTGCTGCAAGTCTGACTCCTCCTGCTTTGAGACTCTCATAAGCAGGCCGTCTAAAAAAGTTGCTGCTGCTGCTGCTGCTGCTGTCGTTGCTGCTGCTACACCTGCTGCAGCTGCTGCTGCCGCGGTAGCGCATGCAATGACGGCTCAACGGAGAATAAAGAAAGGCCGTTGGGGTTGCTAAAGACGAGCTACTCTGTTGCTGCTGTTGCTGTTGCTGCAGCAGCAGAAGGGACCCAAAGCTCTGCTGCAGCTGCACCAGCAGCAGCAATAGCAGCTGCAGCAGCAGAGCCACCGGGCGCCATCTTTGGCTATCCCGCATCTCCGCCACAGCTAACTAGCATCATTATACCCCATCTTCTAAACCCTAAACCCTAAACCCTAAACCCTTAAGCAGCTGCCGCCGGGTTAGCAACAAGAGCTGCCTATACACGGCAGCAATAGATAATTAAATAAAAATAAAGTAAATTAAATTAAAAATTAAATTAAAATTAAAATTAAGTTAAAGAAAGGAATTAAAATTGATTGTAAGACAGGAGAGGCACGGGGGGCCCCCCGTGGGGCCTCCAAGGGGGGCCCCCCAAGGTGGTTGTTTGCACAATTGGGTATTAGGAGAATATTTATTTGTTTTTTCGTATAATTTATTTTATTTTTAATTAATTAATTAATTTGTTTATTTTTTTTTATTTGTTTTTTTATTAATCAAAATAAAACAATAAACAACAGAAAATGAAGTCAATCATTGCCTAGTTGCTGATTAGTTATTTAGTTATTTACTTTTTGTTTTCTTTTAGCTAATCTTTTTATTATTATTAATAGAAATATTATCCATTTCTTCTCTATCACTCCCTTTTACTCCTTTTGTATCTAATAGAGGAGGGAGGATCAACAAACGGAGTTGCAACAAAACCCTAAATCATAAACCCTAAACCCTAAACCCTAATCAATACTCTTACAAAATAAAATAAAGGGGTTGAGGGGTTTTAAGGGTTTAGGGTTTTATGTGTAGGCAGAGATTGTAAGGAATCTCGTCCCCAGCCAAACCCTAAACCCTAAACCCTAAATATGAAACGCTGTGTTGTCTCTCCTTCTGTCTATCTGACCTCCAGGCCCTCATCCCTTCCTCCTAGGGTTTAGGGTTTAGGGTTTCGCACAGAGTGGAGGACATCAAGAGAACGGAAGGGGAAAGAGGCCTTAGGGGGTTTATAAAAATCCTTCATTCCTTTGTTTAGCCAAAAATCTCTTGCAACCCTGCAAGCACATAAACAGCAAACCCTCATGTAAACCCTAATTCTAGGGTTTAGGGTTTAGGGTTTACAGTTAAGGGTTTCTTTTTCTTGTATACGGTAAAGGGTTTAGGGTTTATAATGATGGTATTAGGGTTGAGGGTTCACAGACATTAGGGTTTATAGTGATTAAATTAGGGTTTAGAGGGCCTATATATCAGGGTATATATAAATTAGGGTTTAGGGTTTAGGGTTTAGGGTACTCGAATAGTATGCGATGTCTGTTGACGGTGTCTTTAATATCCCAGCTGTATCCTCCTCCAACAACGCAGCAAACAGCAGCAGTAGGAAACGGATTCTCCTGTTGCTGCTGCTGCTGCTGCTGCTGCTGCAGGGCAAGCATACGTTTATTATGTTTAATTATAGAGGAGAAGAAGAGGGTTTCTCTGTTGCGTAAACCCTCGCTAGTTAAATTAAGAAACCCTAATCTATCTTCTTTATGGCAATCAACACCACCAACATAAAACACTAAATCAGGGTTTATTTCCTCTAAACAACGATCCAATACCTACACACACAACAGCAGCAACAGCAATAGCAGCAGCAGCATGTGCAGCAGCAGCAAATGCAGCAGCAGCAACAATGAGCGGCGAAGCGGTGCCTCTAACGGTGTGCGTATGCTGCTGCTACTGCTGCTGCTGCTGCTGCTGCTCGGTGTCGTTGCAGCAGCTGCTGCAGCAGCGATCGAAGTACGCCTGTACCACCACGCTGCAGCACTTAGCAGCAGCAGCACAAGCAGGAGCAGCAGCAGAAGCAGCAGCAGAAGCAGCAGCAGCAGCAGCAATAAGGCTCTTACTGGTCCGAATGTTTGCATATATTCTTCGTCTCCGCATCCTTTCGGCAATGAGATATCTAATGATGACCTAAAGAAAAAAAAACCTCTAAACCCTAAACCCCAAACCCTAAACCCTAAACCCCAAACCCTAAACCCTAAACCCCAAACCCTAAACCCTAAACACTAGGATGCGTTGCTCGCCCTGCGTTTAGCGGCCTTAAATACCCATCGGTTGTTTATGAGGGTTTGACGTGTATCTCTGTAGGATTTAGGGTTTAGGATCTAATTAGGGTTTAGGGTTTAGGGTTTATATACTGTTCTTTATTTGGTGGATAATTGCTGCTGCAGTGTATAGACAGGGTAAACACTTCTTTTCTTCCTCTAAATATTTCTGCTGTACCATCACCTTGATGTACATCCACGTCTACTATCAATATACGCCTGCAGCAGCAGCAGCAGCAGCAGCAGCAACAGCAGCAGCAACAGCAGTAACAGCAGCAGCAGCACAAGCAGCAGCAGCAATGGCAATAGATAGCATCGAACAGAATAGCAGCAGCACAAAAGCAGCAGCAGCAACAGCAACAGCAGCAGCACCCAAGCATCCCCATCACCACCACCACCACCATCACAGCAGCACCAAAAGCATCAGCAGCAACAGCAGCATCAACAGCAGCAGGAGCAGCAGAATTACCTAGCTCTTTTTTGTATTATAGCAAGTTGTACAGCAGCAGCAACATCATTAATTAAACAAAAAGGACCAACATAAACCCTTTTTGCATGATGTAAACCCCCGCCTATGCAAACACTAATCCCTAACTCTATACTTATTAATACACCTAAACTAGTGTTTAGTACCTATACATATATATATACACACACATTTATATTTATTATTATTATTTTATTAGGGTTTAGGGTTTAAGGGAGAAGCGGAGAGGGTTTGGGGTTTTCGGGGGAAGAAGGAAGGGTTTAGGGTTTTGGCGGTAGGGTTTAGGGTTTAGGGTTTAGGGTTGGAGGCTAGACACGCCTCAAATAAACCCTCTCCTAAACCCTAAACCCTAAACCCTAAACCCTAGAAATAGTTATTATGTCTACTTACTTCTGTGATCATTTTAAGTATTGTTTGTCTACAAAGAGGAAGTCTTAATTTCTTCTCTATTTCTTTTTTTTGTACCCTATTTAGGGGGGCCCCCCCTATTACATCAAGGAGGGGGCCCCCATGAACAAGAGAAGAAATAAAAAGAGAAGAAGAAAAAGATAAAGGAGGAATAAATAAAGAATATCCAGACCCTAGAGGAACACCTAGTCCCCCCTGCACCTTATTAGACGCTGCTGTTGCTGCTGGCGCTGTTGCTGCTGGTGCTGTTGCTGCTGGTGCTGTTGCTGCTGGTGCTGTTGCTGCTGGTTCTGCTGTATCAGCTACTGCAGCAGGTGCAGCAGCAGCAGCAGGACCACCCCCAGCAGCAGATGCAGGACCATTATCACCATCACCATCAGTACTATCAGCAGCAGCAGGTGCAGCAGCAGCAGCAGGAGCAGCAGCAGCAGCAGCATTATTTTCTGCTGCTAATGCAGCTAATAAAAGAAGTAATTTTTGGGGTTTTAATTTATTAGTTGCAGGGAAAGAAAAAGGAGATAAAAAAGAAGAAAAAATTATATATACACCCCTATCTTTGCTGCTGCTGGTGCTGCTGCTGCTGGTGCTGTTTCTGCTGCTGTAGCAACTTATATCTACTGCTGCAGCAACTATTTCCTTTAATAAATATTCTCCTCCTCTTGCTGCTGCTGCAGCAGCTGCTGCTGCCGCTGCTGCTGTATCTACTGCGGCTGATGCCGGTCCCGCTAATGCTCCTGCTGCTCCTGTTGCTGTTGCTGCTCCTGCTGCTGCTGCTGTTGCTGAATTTGCTGCACTTCGTGCATTTGCTGCTGCTGCTCCTCCTCCTGTCTTTGTACGAGACATCTTTGGCTGCAAAAATAGCACTGGAGGCCTAGCTGGATATTGCTGCTGCTGCTGCTGTGCTGCTGGCAGCAGCTGCAGCAGCAGCGAGGCTTGTGGGCTGTCTGCAGGTATCCTAACGACCCAAAGGCAGCTATCGTCTACTTGCTGCTGCTGCTGCGGTTGCTGCTGCTGCTCCTTTGCATGCATATCTAGTACCCTGTTAGGGGAGGATCCGGGGGGCCCCCGGGGGCCCCCCAAGAGAGTACTATTTAATATTTTTGCTTCTATTGAATCAGGAGGGAAGAGGAGGCACAAATCACAATCCTTTAGTGCCTTCTTATATTGCTGATCTAACCATCCAGCGTCCCCTTCCTCTGCTGCTGCTGCTGCTGTTGCTGCTGCTGTTGCTGTTGGTGTTGCTGCAGAGGAGGAAGTAGGAGAGGAGTCTGCTGCAGCAGCAGTAGAGGAGGAGTCAGGGGACTCTTCTGCTGCTTCAGCAGCAGAAGAGGAGATTGAGGTGTCTGCTGCTGCTGCTGCTACAGAAGCAGGAACCCCAAACACACGGTAATTAGAAGCACTCAGGGGCCCCCTAGGGGCCCCCTTCCGTGAGCAAGTGAAAGAACCCGGTCGGAGGGCCCCCAGTGGGGGCCCCCAAAGGAAAGAGGAGGGACCCAAAGGGGCCCCCGAGGGGGGCCCCGACAGGAAGGCCGTGGGAGGGGCCCCTTCATGCTGCTGCCTAGATATGCTGCCGCTAAGGCAGGGACGCCAGGGAGCTGTTGTTGCTGCTGTTGCTGCTGCAGTTGCTGCTGTTGTTGCGATTTCTACTGTGGCTGCCGGGGAACCTCCCGTTGCTGCTGAGTGTATTGCTGCTGCTGCTGCAGGAGAAGCAGCCGGAGCACCAACAACAACAGCGGCTAGCAGCAGCAGCAGCAGATTGTAGCTGTAGAGATGCATGCTTAGGAGGTGGGGGGCCCCCTGCACCCTTGGGGGCCCCCCTCTTAGCTTTTCGTTGCTGCAGTGTATAGGGTACTAATAACCCTTTATTACTCTATGCATGCATTTAATTCACTTTACCTCAAATACACCATAAGCATTTCCCTTCATCAATAATTTAACCGCAACGGCCCCCTTGGGCGCCCCGTAGAGGGGCCCCCTAATGGGGCCCCCAAAGAGGGGCCCCTCCGCGAGACCCTGAGGTGGCATCGTACCCTTCGATTCCTCTGTTGTTGTGTCTGCATCATCATCAGATATTTTATCAAGGGTTTTAAAATTAGGGTTTAGGGTTTAGGGTTTAGGGTTTAGGGGGATGGCCCCTCCTGAGTTGCCCCATCCACAGGGGCCCCCACCAGGGGATGGGGGGCCCCCTGGGGCCTCCCGTTTAGATTTGCTGCTGCAACAGCCGCAAGACTTGCATGCATTACCTTGTCTTCCTCATTCGCAGCTGCATCCTTGGGTGCAGCTGCTGCAGCTGAATGAGCATCAGCAGCAGCAGCGGCAGCAGCTATTGCTGCAGCAGCAAACCACAGGACCAACAAACTTGTTCGCCCTCGCATACAACAGCAGCAGCAGCAGCAGCAGCAGCACAAGCGACACAGACACAACAGCGGCCAGGCTTAGTGGGGTCCCCAACAGCAGGAGGGAGGGGGCAGCAGCAGCAACAGCAGCAGAAGGAGCAATAGGAGGGCCTCATGCGGGCCCTTCCCCCCCTACGACAGGCGCAGCACCAGCAACACCAACAACAGCAGCAGCAACAGCAGCAGGAGCTCGGGTGTATCCTGAGCTGCTGCGAGGGTACAGCAGTTTTGCTGTCAGCAAAAGGGGGGCCCTTCTTGCTGCTGCAGCAGCAAAAGATATTCAGATTTTCTCTATGGATACCCTCTCTCTTTATGCTTATATACAGCTGCAGCTACCCTGCAGCAGCTGCAGCAGCAGCAGCTGCTGCTGCAACAAACAGCATGCAGCAGCAACAGAAAGCGTGCAGACAGATGGAGGCAACGCAGCAGCTGCAGCAGCAACAACAGCAGCAGATGCCACGGAGCAGCCACCCCCCCTCAGCTCTTCTGATGCGGCAATTGACTCCTCGCAGCAGCAGCAGCAAAAGCAGCAGCAGCAGCAGCCGCTGCAGGCAGTGCAGCAGCTGGATTTTGCTGCAGCAGATCGCGCGCTGCTTGCATTAACAACTTGCTGCCGCCTTTTTGTTTATTCGCTGCTGCAGCAGCAGCCTGTGCTGCTGCTAGCTGTAGATCTAAATCAGGTGTATATACAGGCTATACCTGCATTAGGACTGCAGCAGCAGCAACAACAACAGCAGCAACGGCAGCAGTTGCAACTTACAGCAAGGCGCAGCAAAACAAGAGGGGAAGAGGAAGAAACAGACGACGAAGCAGAGCAGCAGCAGCAGCAGCAAGAAGAGGAGGCCGAGGAGCAGCAGCAACAGCAGCAGCAGCAGGAAATACAAGAAGAACAGCAACAGCAGCAGGATGAGTCGCAGGGAGAACAACTGCAGCAGCAGCAACAGCAGCAGCAACAACAGCATCAGCAGCAGGAGAGTGTATCCGAGGGTAGTGCTGCTCCTCTTGTTAGTGACAGCGACGGAGGTCGTAGAGGAAGACTAAGCAACAACAGCAGCAGCAGCAGCAGCAACAGCTGCAGCCGCAGCAGCAGCAAGGGGCATTTTTGCAGCAAAGACCAGCAGACGGCAGACTCTGGTGCAGCACCTGCAGCAGCAGCAGCAGCAGAGCCCGAGAGGCTAAAGATTTGCTGCATGCAGCTGCTGTCCTTGGTGCTGCCCTCTGCTGTTTGTCTTACGGAGAGAAGAGCTGATGATGCATGGCGATTTGCTGTTGCTGCTGCAGCAGCAACAGCAAAGGCAGCAACAACAGCAGCAACAGCAGCAGCAGCAGCAGATGCTAGTCCTGCTGCTGCTGCTGCTGATAGTGCAGCCACTAAAGACCCGAAGCAAACAAAAGAAGGATCTGCGGATGCGTCAAATGAAGCTCCTGCTGCAGCAGAAACTGCAGCAGCAACTGCAGCAGCAGCAGCAGCAGCAGCAGCAGCAGATTTAGAGGCTTTATCTGGTGAAGGATCGATGTCTTTAATAGTGTCATTTGCTGCTGATCCAAGGGCAGAGACAGAGACCTGTACATACACCGCACCGCTGCTGCTGCAATTCGTGCTGCAGCCGCAGCAGCTGCTGCTGCTTTATCTGCAGCAGCAGCTGCTACGGCACCATCAGCAGCAGCAGCAGCAGCAAAGTATAGGCCTCCCTAAGCTATTTAGTTTCTCTTCTCTCTCTCTGCTGCCTCCCTCTTGCTGCTGCTACAGCAGTGAGGTCCTTTGGAGTAGATGTGGGGAGCTGCTGCCTCCCTGTAACAGCAGCAGCAGCAGCAGCAGCAGAAACAACAGCAGCTGCAGCAGCAGCGACCGGTGGTCTCTTACAGGCCGCAGCAGCAACTTTCCCTTCTGCTGCTTCTCTCGTTGTCATCCAGATCAGCTGCGGCTGCAGCTATTCCCAATTCAACAGACGCAGCAGCAACAGCAGCAGCTGCTGCAGCACCAACAGCAGCAGCAACAGCAGCAGGATGTTGACAAACTTGTGGCTGTATGTTCTCCTATGGGCACCTTGTGGTTGCTGCGTTTGCTGCAGCATGATGGGCAGCAGCAACAGCCACAGCAACAAAAGCTGTCAGACGAACAGCAGCAGCAGCAGCAGCAGCAGGTAGCAGAGATTGTTGCATGCTCCCATTTTGCTGCTGCTGCTGCACCAGTAGAGGTAAAGGCTCGTCCTGATGGCGGCGCGCTGCTGCTGCGCTGCGTAGATAGAATAGTTGCTGTTTCTGTCTACTTAACCACTGCAGCAGCAGCAGATGATGATGAGGAGGAGGAGGAGGAAGAGGAAGAAGATGAAAAAGAAGATGCTGCTGCTGCTGCTGCTGCTGCTTCCATGGATGAAGATGAGGATGAGGCGGAGGCAGATGCATGCAAGACCAATGACCCTGCACCCGAAGAATCGGCAGAAAATGCTGCAGCAGCAAGCGATGCAGTAGCAGCAACAGATGCAGCAGCACCAAGCGATGCAGCAGCGCCAAGCGATGCTGCAGCAGCAACAGATGCAGCAGCACCAAGCGATGCTGCAGCAGCAACAGATGCAGCAGCACCAAGCGATGCAGCAGCACCAAGCGATGCAGCAGCAGCAAACGATGTAGCAACAGCAAACGATGCAGCAGCAACAACAGCAACAGCAGCAGAGGAGAAGGGGGGAGATGCACGTGAGCAAAGGAAAAGGCCGAGAGATGACGGCGAAAGCAAACAGCAAGAAGGGGAGCAGCAAGAAGAGCAGCAGCAGAAGGAGCTGGAAGCGATTGATACCGACAGCGGCAGCAGCAGCAGCGGCAGCAGCAGCAGCAGCAGCGGCTGCGTAGAGGAGGGAGATGAGCCTCATGGCAGGAAGCGGAGGTTGCAGTCCAAGGATGACCAAATTGTTGGTGCAGCAGCAGCAGCAGCGGATACAAAAGCAGCAGCAGCAGCAGCAGCACAACCATCCGCAGATTCCTCCTCAGCAGCAGCAGCAGAAGGAGGGAACGATAAAGAAGCATTTGAAGGGGAGGCATCTGGTACAGAGAGTTCACAGCATCAGCAGCAATCTCAACAGCAGCAACAGCAACAGCAACAGCAGCAGCAGCAGCAGCAGCAGCAACAGCAGCAGCAGCAGCAGGAGCGTTTAAGACTATCATTACAATTTGTGTTACAAGATCGTGTACAACGTGAGAAGTACACCTCTTGCTGTTTTATAACGAGCAGCAGCCCACCCCCATACAGGATCAGCAGGATCAGCAGCAGCAGCAGGAGCAGCAGCAGCAGCAGGAGCATGAGGAGTAAATGTATATCTTTTGCTGCTGTATCTGTGAATAGAGGAAGCAAGACAGGATTATATATATTAGATATATCAGCAACAAATGCAATTGAATCGCAAATATTTTCCTTAGAAACAACAAAGTTGCAACCATTTAGACAAATATTATTTCTTCCTTTTAGTTCTTGTGATCTACCTATTGATCTATTCTATCCAAATAAATATAATTCTTCTTCTTCTTCTCCTGCTGCTGCTTCTGCTTCTAGTGGTGGTTGTGGTGCTGCTGCATCAGCAGCAAATGATGATTCATCCTGCAGCAGCAACAGCAACACCAGCAGCAGCAGCAGCAGCATCAACAGCAGCAGCAGCAGCAACAACAACAACAGCGGGAGTTGTATGGATAATAGCAGCAATAATATGGAGAGAAGGTATGAGTATGAGTACAAGAACAGGATGAATTACTACACAAGTAGCAGTAATAATAATAATAATAATAATAATAATAATAGCAGCAGCAGCAGCAGCAGCAGATCAACATTAATTGGATTAGAGCGTCGTCAAGGTTTGCTGCTGCTGCTGCTCCCTCATCGTCGTCGTCTTTGGGATTTTTTTTTGCCAAATTTCCAAAAAATTTCCAAAAATTTTGAATTTATTGAATCGCCATTTGAATTTGATGCAATTATACATTATAATCAACTTATTCATATACCTATATATAAGGTAATTTATTTATTATTTATTCTTACTACTAATACTACTACTACTACTACTACTACTCCTTATTATGCTCTTGCTCCTCCTGCTCTTTTTGTTCTTTTTGTGGTTATTGCAATGGTCCTCGTTGTGGGCTTTTTATGTATTTATTCGTCTTTTATTACACACAAAAAAAAAACACAACAGCAGCAGCAGCAACAGCAACAGCAGCAGCACCAGCACCAGCACCAGCACAATCAGGAGTTCAACACTTTTTTCTGTGTATTGGTACATCTATTAATAATTATTTATCTATGATAAACTCTTTATGACTCTCTGTATGCTCCTCTGTATTAATTTGTACTTTATGCAACTCTCTATGCCTTTCTATGCCCCTCTGTGCCTTTTTATCCTTCTCTATGCTTATATATAACCCAAACATA